AAAGATAGCCCTTCATATGTTTATAACAAAACTTTCAAGACTTAATTCAACAGGAAACGTAGAAAATTTAAGGAAACATTTTATCAAATATCGGCCAAGTTTATTAGACCTCTTTGTAAATTGAAACATCGAAACGAATATGTCAATAATGCGATATGGAAATAGAAACTGGAATTCACTTTGTGTTCGTCTGTCCATTTTATACTGACCTTCGAAAGAAGTATATTAAAGATTATTTGATTATTTGCCACGATTGAAAGCTCTCGTGTATATTTTAACGACGAAGAACGAATCTGCTATATTAAATGTTTCACTATATATTAAACTTGCGCTAGTTACAAGAAATGAACTGTTTAAAGAACGTGTATGTAACTTCCTGTGTATAAAGTATGATATATATACATATATGTAGAATACTCTCGTGTATATGGGGCTGAGGGCTTCAGTACAATAAACCTCTTTGACTTGACACATACAAACAAACACACACGTGCGCGCACGCGCTTACACTCCCACACACAAACAAACAAACAACCTCAATACAATCACAATTCTGTAAGAAGGGTCGGAACATTTGACAATCTGGAAGTGGCCTTCGAAGGCTTGAATGTATCTTCGTGTTTCACAAAACAAATTCGTTCGTTTGACATGCTGCATGTGCTCACAAAAAATAAAGGCTTCAGAAATTATTGTTAAATTTTAGTGTCTCAACGTCCTACCCCTACACTAACACGTGGACCGCCTGGTCCCATTTCTTCAACCCCGCATGATAGGATGTGATAGTCGTGTCACAATGTATCTTCTAGATCATCATATGCAGCTTGAGTTGTAAACATCCCTACATACATCAAGACAGACCAGTCCCAGGCCGTGTCCCCAATCTGACAACTCTAACCGGATGTCACCGGAAGGTGAAGGACGTTCCGAATGGAGAGCAGTCACCGGAAGGTGAAGGACGCCCCGGTGTATTTACGATGACAAGTGGTAACGTTTTCACCCTTGTTGTTTCACGCTGGCCTACATTCCAGACGGACGATATAGGTGTGTATACAACGGAGAACGAACGCTTTATCACATATCTACTGATGCAGTTTCACATATATTTTCCGAAGGTGTGAGTGAATATTGCTTTAACTTTCGAAGCAACTGTGCAATTATCAGAAAGACAATTTACTCGGACTTGTTTATCGAAACGTATGTACTGTATTTGAAAAGTTGCACAATATTGTGGTGTGTTCATGTAAAATATCACTAACCATGCAGAATTTTTGTTTTTAGCACTAAAGAGCAAAACTAGCGTTTTATATTCTCCCTCTCCCCACAATCCGGGGCAGTGGGGTAGTCTAATATTTAAAGCGTTCTCGGGTTCGATTCCACACATGGGTACAATGTTCGAAGCCCGTTTTTGGTGTGCCCCGCCGTGATATTGCTGGAATATTGCTTAAAGCGACGTAAAATTTTACTCACTCACTGACTCCCCACACTCGTTCTCCTAAACAACAGGAAAAGTCAAATTAACGTCGCCACCCGAATCGTCTAAGGTAAAGGGCCATAACTCGCTGTACAGAGTTGCGTCCCTTGCGCACACCAGGCACCTACGATCCTGCGTTCGAATCACGCACGTTTCTACGTTTGTCACTGCACCAGTCCTTGTGGATTTTACCAAAGTGGAAGCGTCTGAGATTTTTACTTTGGGCTCCCTTCCCACATCAATAGACAGCCCACTGTGAACACTATTCAAAGCTACGTTCAACCAAACATAAGCCCTTATTCACTATATTATTCATAAGAAATTACCTCAATGAGCTTGAATTTTCTTAAAATCTAATTCCCGAACTCCCACCCAGGTGGCCCGAAGTATGCTGACGTTGTATGCGCATGCGCTGTTCGAGTGCATATGTACTCACGTGACTCTGAAGGTAATGAAACTACACCTGGATCAACTCACCAGGCGCCATGTACAAGTTCACATCACGTGATATACGGATAAAGCAGTATACATGACATTGACAACGAAATTAAACATATTTGCTCACATGGTGTGTATTTCCTGAATATGATTGATCGCATTCCTATTATTAGAAAATACCTCTTCCCCCTGTTGAGGTTAGTGCAAGACCTCCGTTAGCACCGTCTTGTAAGGTCTCATCAGACAGCAATTGTTGAACTTCGAAACTTGCATAAAAACGATCAAACTGGGAGGCATTTTGAAACACAATTGAAATATCATATTACTCATCCATAGCATGCTCATCCAATGGCATTTGATTGTTTGATTGTAAATATTTATTTAGTCAGTGAGTGAGTTTAGTTTTTACGCCGCACTCAGCAATATTCTAGCTATATGGCGGCGGTCTGTAAATAATCAAGTCTGGACCAGACAATCCAGTGATCAACAGCATGAGCATCGATCTACGCAATTAGGAACCGATGACATGTGTCAACCAAGTCAGCGAGCCTGACCACCCGATGCCGTTAGTCGCCTTTTACGACATTCATTGATTGCTGAAGACAATTCTAACCCGGATCTTCACGTGTCTCAGGAAGGGGATTCACACAGGATATTTGGGAAGGCCGGTGGATACTTGACAATCGTATAAACATATGAGGCGACATATGTCGCCCGCCGTGATATTGCTGGATTATGTTTATTATCGCGTGACCTCGTGTTGAGGTCAGTTATTCGCGGAGTGTCGGCCATCGCTGCAGTACGTGTTGTAACAATGTTCTATCCGACGTTTGCATTTACTTTCTTAAATTAATTTCTTAAAGAGAGTCATTTCAAATTCTTTTCATAGCCAAATTGTTCATGATATTAATATGTTAAACGGGAATATAGGAGGACACACATGATACTGTAGGAGGTCCTACAACTGACGCAGGTACTCATATAAACTTCTACATATAAATATATATGCATTCACTTTCAACCTATTTATAGGAGTGCATTTAACATACTCTTGGCCTGCCCATTTATCTACTAGATTCTATTTTTACACGAAGTGAGCCACATCCTCACCCTGTCGAGCCACTGAAATGTATTTATAGAGAAACAGCCACTTTATGATTCACCGCCAAGTAGGTTTATATCAGTAGGTAAATGTTGTGGAGCTTTGATATCAATATTATTTAGTCATTCACTAATCGATCACCTGTATCATAACGATCTCGTCCCCTCTTTCCTCCATCAAAACTGTTTCATGTCACGAGCTATTCAATTAAAGTACGTTACAGGTTAATACGTCAACATAATGCTGCAGTACGTCATGGCGGCATTAGCTGGTCACGATACGGCAATAAACATCCCCGTGTGTGTGTGAGTGTGACGGATGTTGACGGACGGTACGCCGATGTGACGGCGAGGAGGTCGTTCAGGTAAACGTAACAGCGTTGTTTATGTGTAGAACATAGTTAAGAAAGCATTAACAACATAGCTGTTCCATATTTAACTGGATTTGTTATGCAGGAATGTTTAAATGGGAATTAGTCACATAAACTGAGAGAAGGTAACGACGGACGGCCAACAGAGCGAGATAATTAAATGTTTTCCTGACTTGTGTGTATGTTTTACGTTATGGACTGGAAACAACTGCCATATATGGTGTCTGACTTCTCTCATGTTCGTACTTTCGCACCTATACTACAAGCATCGCGCTATAGGCTGTCGGTGTATATAGGACATATAGTAGGTGTATATGGGTGAGGTGAGCTGAAATTGGGTTTAACCAGAGACCATATCTCTGGTTTAACGTCGTGCTTGAGTTTATTTCGCTCATATGACGACGTGCATGCGTGTGTATGTGCATGTGCGGCTGCTTGTACTAGCTGGTTTTATAGTGCTAGCCCACTGAGATACCATGCCGCAGTGAAGCATGAATACCCCACTCAGACACATTATACTGACTCCGAGCCGATCAGTCTTTGTTGTACCCATTAATGCCGAGCGCCAGACAGGGACCAACAAGTACCATATGTTAACGTCCTTTTGTATGACGCGGCAGGGGATCGAACCCGCGACCTTCCGCTCTCCGGGCGGACGCTCTAACCATTACACCACCGATGCGGTCAGAAGGTGTATATAGGTGAGGTGAGGTGAAATTGGGTTTAACGTCGCGCTGGAGAATATTTCGCTCATATGACGACGTGCCTGCGTGTGTATGTGTATGTGCGGCTGCTTGAACTAGCCCAGACTGAAGCTGGTCTTATAGTGCTAGCCCACTAACATACTATGCCGCAGTGAAGCATGAATACCCCACTCAGACAATTTATACTGACTCCGAGCCGACAAGTCCTTGATGTACCCATTAATGCCGAGCGCCAGGCAGGGACCAACAAGTACCATATTTTAACGTCTTTTGGTATAACGCGGCAGGGGATCGAACCCGTGACCTTCCGCTCTCCGGGCGAACGCTCTAACCACTACACCACGGAGGCGGTCAGGTGTATATAGGACATATAGTCGGTGTATATAGGACATATAGTCGGTGTATATAGGACATATAGTCGGTGTATATAGGACATATAGTTGGTGTATATAGGACATATAGTTGGTGTATATAGGGCATGTAGTGTAAATTGGGACGGATCCCATGGCCGCGACACCCACAATGGCGGTGGCTGAGCGGTCTAGGCGGCTGACTTTGTGTGCTGGCGATTAGGTGCCTCACACTGAGGGTGCGGGTTTGAATCCCAGATGGTACTCAACCCCAAAAGTACTGGAATTTGTACTTTACTAAGAAAGTGTAATCCCAAATATAACATACAGTATGTTGCATTTGACCACTTTCTAAACGGCATTGTGCAATCATAAGTTACGGCTGTCTAAGATATGTCTCTCTAAGTTTTAGGAGATAACCCCTTAGCCTTTACTGGCTAGTGTAAAATTGTCGATTTTGATAGCAATCAAAATTTGACCTGAGAAATGGTGTCTGCATTAAATGTGTTCCAGCGACACGGAAGGGTGGTATTCAGTTGCAGGTGGGTAAAGGAGAAACAATGCATTTTTACACACATGTATATATTTTATTCACATACTAGCACAGTGGACAGTTACGAAGAAATATTGTATTGTTTTTTAACAAGACGTTCAACATACATATCACTGATATTGGCAACAGTCGTCGAAAGGCGTTGCAAGTGTGTGCCGAATGTTTGGATTTCTTTCCACCGAACACCACAACGAAAACTAAAGCGTGTTTACGAGTAACTGCGTGTAATGATAAAGTGCATTATAAGATTAGAGCCAGCGTGTTTTTCTTTGAAATACGTTGACAAGATGAGGATAGGTGTTACAGCATCTGTGCACGGCTAGAGGCGCCATGAAAGGCAATGCACTTTGAACGCCCACAACTATTGGGTCACATCTTTGCGTGGCATATGTCAGGGTGTTTCTACTGTGGGTTTCTTGACCACTGTCCCTTCTGGACAGGGCAGTCGACGATGACGATGCTGTTGTTGTTGACTTTGTAGAACTCGGTGCCGCAGTCGGATCCACAACCGGTCACCCTGAAATTACAAGTCGTTCAACCATGATTCGTTTGTCTCAGACTGACTCACGTGTCTCACATTTTATTCACATGTCTCAGATTTCAGTCGAAGGTCGAAGGTCTCCCATGTGACGCGCCCAGTGCTGACAAATCGGTCACATTGTCCTCATACATGACTCACATTTGACTCACTTGTGTTGGAGTGGGCTGACATATGAATACTCACATTTGGTGCATATGACTCACAGTGGACGCACATAAACTGACATTTGGATCCCATTTGAGCAAGTTTTAATGTCACTGACTCACATTTGGACCACGTCGACTCACATTTGGACCACGTTGACTCACATTTGGACCACACTCATCTCACAGTTGGACCACACCCAGTCCTCATCTGGACCACACCCATCTCACATTTGGACCACAAACCTCTCGCTTTTGAGTCACGTTCCACTCACATTTCGTTTACACTTGACTCACACGGTACTCACAATGTGTGGCTCACATTTTATAGAAGACGCAAATGTATGCAAAATGTGACAAGGGACGTTGTACTTGACAAAGAGAAACATTTAATGGATGTTTCACAGGACGCGGTATAAGGCGGGACTTGGAAAACCTGTGATACAATGGGCCACCTTCTAACGCTGTCAGGGGACGAGAACCTGCAGATAACCTACTAACACCCCATTCCATCCCCTAGCAGTAGGATTACCCATGAAGCCAGCCACCCTCTATCTGCAGGACCGTTGGACTCCGCCCCTAACCACCCCCACCACCCTACCCCATGACGTGTTCTACTGCCATGCACCACGTACCTGCACAGTGCCTGTCTGCCTGCCTGACAATGGTTGTACCAGCACTTCCACTAACACCCCCACGGCCTCCCCCTCCCGATCCCTTCCCCCTTCAAATGCCATGCAACACGTACCTGCACCGCGCCTGTCTGTCTGTCTGACAATGGTTGTAGAAGCAACTGCACGTCGGTTTCTGGTCCTGGGGACAGGCTGCAGCCAAAACACATATTTACAGTTCACAATTAGCCTTTTCATCAACATTGGAGCAATACTCCAGTCGCATACAGCGATATATCACTAAACGACTAAACCCGCAGCTTCCAGGAGGGACCAAACTGAAGCATTCGTGAATAAGCACACTTGAGGGCTGAAACATTTGGCTTGCTTTAAACAGAGAGGGAAGGCAGTGAAAAGTGGACAATATTTCTACTTTGATATCACCTCGGTGAGACAATCATTGAATACTGGACAATATTTCTACTTTGATATCACCTCGGTGAGACAAGCATTGAGATACTGGACAATATTTCTACTTTGCTATCACCACAGTGATCCAAGCTTTGAATACAGGACAATATTTCTACTTTGATATCACCTCGGTGAGACAAGCTTTGAAAACAGGACAATATTTCTACTTTGATATCAACTCGGTGAGACAAGCATTGAATACAGGACAATATTTCTACTTTGGAATCACCTCGGTGAGACAAACACTGAATACAGGACAATATTTCTACTTTGATATCACCCCTCAGTGAGACAAGCATTGAATACAGGACAATATTTCTTCTTTAATCACCTCGGTGAGACATGCATTGAATACAGGACAATATTTCTACTTTGATATCAACTCGGTGAGACATGCATTGAAAACAGGACAATATTTCTACTTTGATATCACCTCGGTGAGACAAGCATTGAACACAGGACAATATTTCTACTTTGATATCACCTCCGTGAGACATGCATTGAATACTGGACAATATTTCTACTTTGATATCACCTCGGTGAGACAAGCATTGAATACTGGACAATATTTGTACTTTGGTATCACCTCGGTGAGACATGCATTAAATACAGGACAATATTTGTACTTTTATATCACCTCGGTGAGACATGCATTGAATACTGGACAATATTTCTACTTTGATATCACCTCTCAGTGAGACAAGCTTTGAATACTGGACAATATTTATACTTTGCTATCACCACAGTGATCCAAGCTTTGAATACAGGACAATATTTCTACTTTGATATCACCTCGGTGAGACAAGCTTTGAAAACAGGACAATATTTCTACTTTGATATCAACTCGGTGAGACAAGCATTGAATACAGGACAACATTTCTACTTTGGAATCACCTCGGTGAGACAAACACTGAATACTGGACAATATTTCTACTTTGATATCACCCCTCAGTGAGACAAGCATTGAATACAGGACAATATTTCTTCTTTAATCACCTCGGTGAGACATGCATTGAATACAGGACAATATTTCTACTTTGATATCAACTCGGTGAGACATGCATTGAAAACAGGACAATATTTCTACTTTGATATCACCTCGGTGAGACAAGCATTGAATACAGGACAATATTTCTACTTTGATATCACCTCGGTGAGACATGCATTGAATACTGGACAATATTTCTACTTTGATATCACCTCGGTGAGACAAGCATTGAATACAGGACAATATTTCTACTTTGGTATCACCTCGGTGAGACATGCATTAAATACAGGACAATATTTGTACTTTTATATCACCTCGGTGAGACATGCATTGAATACTGGACAATATTTATACTTTGGTATCACCTCAGTGGTACAAGCATGGAATTTTCTATTTGGGACGAGCTTGGAAATATCTAGCATGGACTAGTCTACGCCATGACAGCCCAAATGTTAGAAACAAGTTGACTCACGTGATGCCGACCAAGGGATGTCACACTTCACTTCTCTGTTACCAATGAACCACTGAGCTCTGCACGACCCGCACTTGGAATATCTATATAAATAACATGATATATAATAACAAGAGTGAGTGAGTGAGTGAGTGAGTGAGTGAGTGAGTGAGTGAGTGAGAGTGAGTGAGTGAGTGAGTGAGAGTGAGTGAGTGAGTGAGTGAGTGAGTGAGTGAGTGAGTGAGTGAGTGAGTGAGTGAGCACCATTTGAGTTAAATATGATGGAGGAAAGCCCAAACAATGCATGTTTGAGAAATGTCCACACGATGTGTGGTATGGCGCTGAACAAGCATACAATGTAAGACGAGATTTAAGCGTACATTCAATGTGCCAAGGAAAAAACAACTGTTGTGCATTAGGCGAGTGGACCTACCGTACCCCGATATTAATCATAACAACAATAACAATCAATATTTTGGGGACAACATCTGAAAATGGTTTCTAACTATATTTCTGCATCCCACTATGAAATGCGATAATAAAGGGCCGATACTACAATTCTTTATAAATATCTCACTAACCAGCCAAAATGTCTTCAAGTGATGCATTCCATATGAAAAGAGGGTCTTATCATTATTTCTGTTTGTTTTAGTGTTTTTACAAAATATCTGGCAATATATTTCTTTGTGATTATGTCATCTCCCGATTTACGTCCAGCCTAAAGAAGTTCTGTTCTCATCATTTCGACCTTTTGAGTTTTGGGTGAAGATTTGGACTTTCCCTTTCCAGGAAGACAACCATGCTGAAGTTTGACAGGATTATGTTCCCAGAAGGGAGGTAACTCTGTCTTGTAGTTTATACAACTGTTTCACTGATACAGCAACCATTGCACTTCGACAAACAAGGAAACAACTGTACATGCGAGGCATGAACATGACAACACCAACTACCTTGAACCTTTGGTGAATGGTGGGTTACCTCAGTCATTACCTGAAAACTTTGATAAGGGTTCACTTGAGTGAATTATTTTGGGTGTGGATACATTCCTTTGCCTCCACCACAGAACAGACGGATGAAGAGCTTAATGGATGATGTACATATAAACTTTAAAAGTGCAAATGTGTAAGAAACGAACAAAACCCCATCCATTGTTCAATTCCGACGACAGTTTATGTTTATGAATCGCTGACACTTGGTGTTGCAAAATGTTAACCGTTATTACAAACGATGAGACAATGAGACCCACAAACAAGACAAGCACATGCAGATCAATTGCTGACTTAAACAAACTGGGGAACATGAGCTCTCGGTAGTGAGTATATACCTACCTGCACAAGGTGTCGGTCGGGAGGGCGGGACATGAGCTCTCGGTAGTGAGTATATACCTACCTGTACCCGGTGCCGGAGGGCGGGGCATGAATACGGAGTGTAATGACTATATATCTACCTGCGCACGGCGTCTGGGAGGGCGGGGCATGAATACGGAGTGTAATGACTATATATCTACCTGCGCACGGCGTCTGGGTGGGCGGGGCATGAATACTGAGTGTAATGACTATATATCTACCTGCACACTGCGTCTGGGTGGGCGGGGCATGAATACTGAGTGTAATGACTATATATCTACCTGCGCACGGCGTCTGGGTGGGCGGGGCATGAATACTACCTGGAGTGTAATGACTATATATCTACCTGCGCACGGCGTCTGGGTAGGCGGGGCATGAATACTGAGTGTAATGACTATATATCTACCTGCGCACTGCGCGTCTGGGTGGGCGGGGCATGAATACTGAGTGTAATGACTATATATCTACCTGCACACTGCGTCTGGGTGGCGGGGCATGAATACTGAGTGTAATGACTATATATCTACCTGCACACTGCGTCTGGGTGGGCATGGACATGAATACTGAGTGTATGACTATATATCTACCCTGCGCACTGCGTCTGGGTGGGCGGGGCATGAATACTGAGTGTAATGACTATATATCTACCTGCCTGCGTCTGGGTGGGCGGGGCATGAATGCGTCTATATATCTACCCGCGCACCGCGTCTGGGGCGGGGCATGAATACTGAGTGTAATGACTATATATCTACCTGCGCACTGCGTCTGGGTGGGCGGGGCATGAATACTGAGTGTAATGACTATATATCTACCTGCGCACTGCGTCTGGGTAGGCGGGGCATGAATACTGAGTGTAATGACTATATATCTACCTGCGCACTGCGTCTGGGTAGGCGGGGCATGAATACTGAGTGTAATGACTATATATCTACCTGCACACTGCGTCTGGGTGGGCGGGGCATGAATACTGAGTGTAATGACTATATATCTACCTGCGCACTGCGTCTGGGTGGGCGGGGCATGAATACTGAGTGTAATGACTATATATCTACCTGCGCACTGCGTCTGGGTGGGCGGGGCATGAATACTGAGTGTAATGACTATATATCTACCTGCGCACTGCGTCTGGGTGGGCGGGGCATGAATACTGAGTGTAATGACTATATATCTACCTGCACACTGCGTCTGGGGTGGGCGGGCATGAATACATGAATACTGAGTGTAATGACTATATATCTACCCTGCACACTGCGTCTGGGTGGGCGGGGCATGAATACTGAGTGTAATGACTATATATCTACCTGCACACTGCGTCTGGGTGGGCGGGGCATGAATACTGAGTGTAATGACTATATATCTACCTGCGCACTGCGTCTGGGTGGGCGGGGCATGAATACTGAGTGTAATGACTATATATCTACCTGCACACTGCGTCTGGGTGGGCGGGGCATGAATACTGAGTGTAATGACTATATATCTACCTGCACACTGCGTCTGGGTAGGCGGGGCATGAATACTGAGTGTAATGACTATATATCTACCTGCACACTGCGTCTGGGTGGGCGGGGCATGAATACTGAGTGTAATGACTATATATCTACCTGCGCACTGCGTCTGGGTGGGCGGGGCATGAATACTGAGTGTAATGACTATATATCTACCTGCGCACGGCGTCTGGGTGGGCGGGGCATGAATACTGAGTGTGTAATGACTATATATCTACCTTCGCACACTGCGTCTGGGTGGGCGGGGCATGAATACTGACTGAGTGTAATGACTATATATCTACCTGCGCACTGCGTCTGGGTAGGCGGGGCATGAATACTGAGTGTAATGACTATATATCTACCTGCGCACTGCGTCTGGGTGGGCGGGGCATGAATACTGAGTGTAATGACTATATATCTACCTGCGCACTGCGTCTGGGTGGGCGGGGCATGAATACTGAGTGTAATGACTATATATCTACCTGCACACTGCGTCTGGGTGGGCGGGGCATGAAGCAAATACTGCATGAATACTGAGTGTAATGAATATATATCTACCTGCGCACACTGCGTCTGGGTGGGCGGGGCATGAATACTGAGTGTAATGACTATATATCTACCTGCGCACGGTGTCTGGGTGGGCGGGGCATGAATACTGAGTGTAATGACTATATATCTACCTGCACACTGCGTCTGGGTGGGCGGGGCATGAATACTGAGTGTAATGACTATATATCTACCTGCACACGGTGCGTCTGGGTGGGCGGGGCATGAATACTGTGTGTAATGACTATATATCTACCTGCGCACTGCGTCGAAGGGTGGGCGGGGCATGGGTGTAATGACTATATATCTACCTGAGTGTAATGACATGAATACTGAGTGTATCTACCTGCACACTGCGTCTGGGTGGGCGGGGCATGAATACTGTGTGTAATGACTATATATCTACCTGCACACTGCGTCTGGGTGGGCGGGGCATGAGTACACGGCACATGGGTTCCTGGGACACGCCACTGTTATCTGAGATTCTGTACACCCTGTGTAAAGATAAATATACTGAAAACATTGCAGAAATACCAATTCATTTAACAACCTAAAATTTAGAAAAACAGTTAATGAAAAGTCGAAATTTGCTGATATTTGGTATGTCATGCTGTAACAAGCACAGCTGGCTTTAGTGCACTGATTACTAGATATCCATTGTTGTTAATCTCCCTTCATGCATTCCATTTGTATGTATATAAGTCTGTTCTGTGCTGTAGTACTTCAGTAATGCTTGACAAAGCTATAGGAATCAAGGCGGAAGCGTCGCGTCATAACTTATGTAGAATCTGCCACCCATGAGGTATCCTGCCATTTGTATGTCTCCATCAAGGAACAGGTAAACCTAACAATAGGATTAGAACATATTCCCTCAACTGTCAAGAAAAACCAAAGGAAACAACAACAAATATTACGAAAACGATATTTTTCCTCCCCTTAATGGGGCATGCGCAATGTCCATTTGGACCGCGAAAGCGGCGCCATCTCGACCAGGGGTGGTTTGCAAAGTTTAACCTATGGGAAGCGACACCTAAGGGACGTCACTCTGTATACACGATCATGTTGAACAACACCCCAGAAGGCCCGTCCCCCAACACCAGTGCACGACGGTGCTACCCACCTCCTGAGCAGTCCACCTCCTGTCCGTCTAGGTACCACCGGGCGAAGCAGGAGCCGCAAGCATTCGGGCTGCACAAAGAAAGGTATGTTAGTTTTCTTTTTGGTTGTGTGTGTGTTATGTTTTAATATATATTGTATGTGCTTTGTTATTTGGAGTAGCCCCCGTTATCCAGCTGCTAAATGGAACATTTACAGGAGAGGTGTCTAATACCATTAGTGGGAAGATCTCTCCATGTCGGCGCGGTGGGGTAGCCCAGTGGTTAAAGCATTCGCTCGTCCCGACGAAAACCCGGGTTCGATTCCCCACAAGGTTCCAATGAGTGAAGCCCATTTCTTGTTTTCCAAGCCGTGATATTGCTGGAATATTGCTAACAGCAGCGTAAAACCCAACAACTCTTCTTTCTATGGCATCAATTCCACACAATTTCCTGCCTGCATACGGCGTCAGTGATGATTCATCATAAACGCCGCTTTTTGGTTGTTAATACTACCTTCGAGTCAATCTGTAACGCATATAAGGCCTTTCAGATACGAAACATTCCCGGTATAGTCAAATTCTTAAAAGAATATCCCTACAAACAGTGAGATATTTTCCATTGTAGAGCAAGTAACACATGGACCATTCGAACCCGTTAGTCGTCAGTGGTATATGTGCCATATATGGAACTAGGGGAGGTAACTCTCTTTCATAGACAAAGGATATCACGTGCATAAGACTCATGCAACCGAGTATGCACGGGTAAACCGTTAGCCATGGTGCTATACGCAAGAGGCACTGTAACCCCAACCGAAATAAATATCTGACCCCGACGTCTAACGCCTCATACTAACGTCCGTATACTACGGATACAACACCGTCTCTTACAACAATCATCCGTGAAAGTCCGGGTTAGAATGAACCTTTAGTAACCCATGCTTGTCGTAAGAGGCGACTAACGGGATCGGGTGGTCAGACTAGCTGGCAAGGTTGACACATGTCATCGGTTCCCAATTGCGCAGATCACTGGATTGTCTGGTCCAGACTTGATTATTTACAGACCGCCGCCATATACTAGTAGCTGAACTATTGCTGAGTGCGGCGTAAAACTAAACTCACTCACTCTTACAACAATCATAGGCAGCTGAAGACGAACTCTGTCCTTCGTGGTTTCCACGGTAGGAACTAACTTTGGCCTTGCAAGACATGGCTATTTCAATCTTGGCACCCATACTGCATGGTGGTGAATCATGGGGTGTGGCAGTTGAATGCCTGATACATACATGCAGGTTGCCCCCGGGATGTGGCAGGTCTGGTTGGCGCAGGGGTGGGAGGAACATATCGCCGGGGACGTACCCGCGGGGCAGGTTTCAGCTGAAACAACATATACGGGTTAGTACATACCGTGTATTGAATGTATAACATTCCTATACGCCACTTTTTGAGCGGTGGGGTAGCCCAGTGGTTAAATCGTTTGCTTATCACGTCGAAGACTCGGGCTCGATTCCCCACATGGGTACAATGTGTGAAGCCCATTTCTGGTGTACCCCTCCGTGATATTACTGAAATATTGCTAAAGTATATTGTAGAAAAAGTTGCTTACTCCTTTACAACTTCAAAGAGTAATTCAGAATTGATAGTTGTTTCGAAATATTAACAATATATGCACACACAGGTTCTCATAAACAGGCATTGACATTTATACTGTTTTTAACATTCTAATATGTTCGGGTGTAAGCCTCTTCAACGCGGCTTTGAACAGACCTCATGTGACTGTTTAATGTTGGAGGAAATCCCGAAGTACTCACATTTACAACTTTTGTCAAAACCCATGAGAACAGGTGCGTGTTGACAAACCTACTGGCATTATGAGGTGAGGTAGTGAGTTTATATCTCCCGACTGTACACACGGTGTATGGTGGGGGCGGGACATGAATACTGAGTGTTGGGAGTTTATATCTCCCGACTGTACACACGGTGTCTGGTGGGCGGGGCATGAATACTGAGTGTAGGGAGTTTATATCTCCCGACTGTACACACGGTGTATGGTGGGGGGGACATGAATACTGAGTGTAGGGAGTTTATATCTCCCGACTGTACAAACGGTGTCTGGTGGGCGGGGCATGAATACTGAGTGTAGGAGTTTATATCTCCCGACTGTACACACGGTGTATGGTGGGGGGGACATGAATACTGAGGGTAGGGAGTTTATATCTCCCGACTGTACACACGGTGTCTGGTGGGCGCAGGACATGAATACTGAGTGTAGGGAGTTTATATCTCCCGACTGTACACACGGTGTATGGTGGGGGGGACATGAATACTGAGTGTAGGGAGTTTATATCTCCCGACTGTACACACGGTGTCTGGTGGGCGGGGCATGAATACTGAGTGTAGGGAGTTTATATCTCCCGACTGTACACACGGTGTATGGTGGGGGACATGAATACTGAGGGTAGGGAGTTTATATCTCCCGACTGTACACACACGGTGTCTGGTGGGCGGGGCATGAATACTGAGTGTAGGGAGTTTATATCTCCCGACTGTACACACGGTGTATGGTGGGGGGACATGAATACTGAGGGTAGGAGTTTATATCTCCCGACTGTACACCACCACGGTGTCTGGTGGGCGGGGCATGAATACTGAGTGTAGGGAGTTTATATCTCCGACTGTACACACGGTGTATGGTGGGGGACATGAATACTGAGGTAGGAGTTTATATCTCCCGACTGTACACACGGTGTCTGGTGGGCGGGGCATGAATACTGAGGGTAGGGAGTTTATATCTCCCGACTGTACACACGGTGTCTGGTGGGCGGGGCATGAATACTGAGTGTAGGGGTTTATATCTCCCGACTGTACACACGGTGTATGGTGGAGGGACATGAATACTGAGGGTAGGGAGTTTATATCTCCCGACTGTACACACGGTGTCTGGTGGGCGGGGCATGAATACTGAATGTAGGAGTAATACTGAGGGTATGGAGTTTATATCTCCCGACTGTACACACGGTGTCTGGTGGGGCGGACATGAATACTGAGCGTATGGAGTTTATATCTCCCGACTGTACACACGGTGTATGGTGGGGGCAGGACATGAATACTGAGTGTAGGGAGTTTATATCTCCCGACTGTACACACGGTGTATGGTGGGGGCAGGACATGAATACTGAGTGTAGGGAGTTTATATCTCCCGACTGTACACACGGTGTATGGTGGGGGCAGGACATGAATACTGAGTGTAGGGAGTTTATATCTCCCGACTGTACACACGGTGTATGGTGGGGGCAGGACATGAATACTGAGTGTAGGGAGTTTATATACGAATGGACATAATTGGACCAAAGGTAAGAACAAGGGACGTAACTTTGCATTATGAATCCGGTTCCTCCAAGAATTTAGACAGATTGAATATGAGAAAAAATAATATATTTCATAAGAAGTTCATTGTTAATGTGTGTGCCAGTCAGAAAGGAATTATGTAAGGTGATTTGTAGAAAACAACTTTTAATTTTTTAAAAACATTTAAAACGGTAATATTTTAAAATAAGTTGTGGATACCTGTGGTTGGGACGAACAGTCCTCTTTGACTCGGCAAAGGTCCAAGAGACGTCCTCACAACACCGCTCTGTCCACCAGCGGGAACCAGTGTGCTGCCTGTGGCGCCGGATCTGGCTCTCCAGGCCGCTAGGTTATTCTGACCTTGACCTTGTCTCGCCTGCCATGCTGTACCAGCGGTGGTGGTGAACGAGGAAGGAGGGACGACCCCAGAACCTCTGCTGAACGACTCCTGTCCAGTCTGGCCCTGAGATCCGAAATTGTTCTGTGCTCTGTCCATGGAATTGGTCGGAAGTGGGCCGCCAGGTTGCGATGCTGAGGATACCTGTGGGGCAGTGTTCTCATCGGGAAAGAGGGCTCCAAGTCCGAACACATTCTGTTGCAGTGCTAGGGCGGCGTCACCACGAGACTGGGACCGAGAGTTCTGTGGGACGGTGCTCTGACTGGACACACTACTAGCGAAAACTCGGGGACCGGTAGCAACACTGCGTGGGGTAACTTGAGTGATACGGGTACCGTCAGTCCATGGTGACGGTGGTTGGGTGAGGCTTGGAGAAGGCTGTAGAACCTGGGGGCCTGTCCACCCAGGGGCGGGGCCTGGTACCTGGGTGAAGGGATCAGGGCCTGCAGGGATGATCGGGGGAGCTGAAATCAGCATATTGAGAACAGGATTGTCAGTGACACATGTTTGTGTTGTTGAAAAGGACGAATGCACGTGTTTGGTTTTCGTTAAGGACGATGCACGTGTTTTTGTTGTCATTGAGGACGGTGCACGTTTTTATGTTGTAACTGAGGACAGTGCACGTGTACTTGTTGTCACTGAGGACGGTGCACATGTGTATGTTGTTACTCTGGACGGTGCACGGGTATGTGTGGTCACTGAGGACGGTGTGTGTGTTTATGTTGTCACTGTGGACGGGGCGCGTGTTTATGTTGTCACCGACGGTGCGCGTGTTTATGTTGTCACTGTGGACGGGGCGCGTGTTTATGTTGTCACCATAGACGGGGCGCGTGTTTATGTTGTCACTGTGGACGGTGCGCGTGTTGATGTTGTCACCATAGACGGTGCGCGTGTTGATGTTGTCACTGAGGACGGTGTGTGTGTTGATGTTGTCACTGTGGACGGTGCGCGTGTTTATGTTGTCACTGAGGACAGATGCACATATATAGCACGTCTCTAACGTAGAACACCGTATGCACTTACGTTGTCTCTAGCGGGGAGCACCGTATCTACTTACGTTGTCTCTAGCGGGAGCACCGTATCTACTTACGTTGTCTCTAGCGGGGAGCACCGTATCTACTTACGTTGTGTCTCTAGCGGGGAGCACCGTATCTACTTACCTTGTCTCTAGCGGGGAGCACCGTATCTACTTACCTTGTCTCTAGCGCGGAGCACCATATCTACTTACGTTGTCTCTAGCGCGGAGCACCATATCTACTTACGTTGTCTCTAGCGGGGAGCACCGTATCTACTTACCTTGTCTCTAGCGCGGAGCACCATATCTACTTACGGTGTCTCTAGCGGGAGCACCGTATCTACTTACCTTGTCTCTAGCGGGGATCACCGTATCTACTTACGTTGTCTCTAGCGCGGAGCACCGTATCTACTTACCTTGTCTCTAGCGGGAAGCACCGTATCTACTTACCTTGTCTCTAGCGGGGAGCACTGTATCTACTTACCTTGTCTCTAGCGCGGAGCACCGTATCTACTTACCTTGTCTCTAGCGCGGAGCACCATATCTACTTACGTTGTCTCTAGCGGGGATCACCGTATCTACTTACGTTGTCTCAAGCGGAGAGCACCGTATCTACTTACGTTGTCTCTAGCGCGGAGCACCATATCTACTTACGTTGTCTCTAGCGGGGAGCACCGTATAGAAGTCTACTTACGTTGTCGACCCTTGCTATTGGTGTAGGCGCTCCTGTCCTTCACCATGACGGACGCTGGGTCAATGAGTTCCGGGAAACTGGTCCGTCCGCACTGTACTCGCATGCCTTCCCTGAAGAATTCGGCCATGCAACCTCCACAGTAGTTGGGTCTGCAGAGGGGAAAATATCCTGACACTTGGCGTAGCGTAACAAATAGAAGTGTATCTGATGTACGTATGCCGAACAGTATTTCAGTTACTTCACATCACGTCAGCTTTATGTGAGAAGAAAACCCACAGCCGATCTTAGAGGTGTAACACTCTCATAACACTGGCTGCCATTGGTTTGATATTCCCAGAACAATTATTGGGCTTATGGGAGGTGATTGTGATGAGCATATTCAGACTGTGGAGCCCGTTTGGCGCAGATTTGTCAAGAAACATACTCAGGCAAAAAATTGGATTCTAATCCTTCATCATCAGTTCCGAACACGTGTAAGGGACGCAACTCTGCATAGCTAATTGCAGCCTCGTGAATTACTCATGTTCACTATTATTATATCATAATTACAGAAATAGTATCATCACCGTCATCACCACCACCATGATCAGCAGCAGCAGCAGAATCGCCATCATCACCATGAGGGGGTGGTGAGGTAGCCTAGTGGTACCGAAGACCCTGGTTCAATTCCCCACATGTGTGAAGTCAATGTGTGAAGCCCATTTCTGGTGTCCCCCGCCGTGAAATTGCTGGAATAGTGCTAAAAGCGGCGTAAAACCATACTCACTTACTCACTCTTCACGACGACAGACGTACCTGCACACAGCATCCGGCATGCTCCTGCAAGATGTCCGCATGCATGGGTCGTCACGACACCGCACATGCATCACTTCCGGTGGACAGTCTGGAATAGCAAATGACATCGGACATTATTGGTTGTAGGAAGCAACATAAACACGTGTTTCAGAAGGTCTATACTCCACGTGGGTGGTTCGGGCTCCACCGGCTTCATATAGAAAATACCTTAATATATGGTACTTGTTGTTTCCCTGACTGGAGCAGAAGCTGGTGTCTCTGAGTGGGCTACACAACTGGCATTAATTCAGACTACTAAAAGCAGACCAATACACGTGCAAGCACGTGGCTATGTTGCAGAAATAATCTTGAAGGCGATGTTTAACTGTATTACACCTGGCCATACCTCACCTTACCTCGCCTCACTCACCTTACCTCACCCCAACTTTTCAGATATTCTGCCAGTAAAAGCTTTTCTATCATATTATGTATACCAGTAATAATGGTTTTTCATCCAACACAGTGACACACACACACACCCACCCCTCTCAAATTAAAAATTGAAGGGGTGACAACCATGTGGCATGAGTATATATGTATTTACAAAGTATTTTGGCCTATCTATCTTCGAATCTCAATAACAAGCTGAGACGGTGGGGTATCCCAGTTCGTTCGCTCGTCACGCCGAAGACCTGGGTACAATGTGCGAAACACATTTCTGGTGTCCCCCGCCCTGATATTGCTGGAATATTGCTAAAAGCGGCGTAAAACTAGACTCGCTCACTCAGTCAATGACAAGCTACCATGGTTCCAGTTATTAACCTTGATGTACAAGAGTGGCAACGCTTCCCATAATATCTTCGAAAATGCCTGGAAGCTTTAATCCGTTCGGAGACAGGGATTTCAGGCTAAACATCAAACCCTGATATGTTGACCGTTATGTATTGTCTACACAAGAAGAATTATCAGTTTTGTAAGAATCTACATATGTTTAATGATTCAAACAGATGTTGCTACTTTTGTGCATGTTACATGACTGGTAATATGAAGTATTTACATTCGTTCAGTCTGTATGCACAACAAAATCAAAGCCCTTACCATTCTGTGGCAGCTGTCTCCGTTCTGGCACAACTGATAACAAAACAAATCAAAAGTCAGTCAACTATATTTTTTAAAAACTTCAAGTAAACGTTTAACGTCTCATTCAACATTTGGTCTTCTATCGGACAAGGGCTATATAATCGAACCTGGACTAGACAATCCAGTGATTGGTGTTGCCAGATTCGATCCATGTCTTCGGGTATAAGGACATGCAGTCACTGACGTTGACCACCTGTTGGTTTAAGTCGACCATCTTTATGTCACTGGGGATCTTTCTGTTTTGTCCACTGTCGACGGGTTGTGACCATTTCCGTGTGATTGCTTCAATACAAGACACTTCTCTCTTGTCGAGATCGCGATTTTACCTCATTGATAGTAATTAAACCCTTTGGAAAATCAAAAAGGTGCGCTGTGTCCAGTGTTGGTCCAGTGTTGGCCGGCTAACAGGGATCTGCACCTGCCTGATTGTGGCCATCATACTCTGAGGACTTTAGACCTTTCATCGCTTTGTCACTCATCAGTTTTTAAACTCATCTCACTCACTCTGCTAATGCACATCTCACTCACTCTGCCAATGCACATCGAAAGAACTTACCTCGTTGCACAACGGGTGTTGATGGTGCCACTCTTACAGCGGGAGCTGACAACATAAGATGTTAACATATAGAGTTGGTCAGAGCATATCATGGCAACAATAATATCATAACAACAATGGTTTGATGAAGCAGAAAGAACTACCCCGATAACGCTGCATGGGACCACTAGTACAACCTGTTGCCGTTGTGTTTGCCGTTGTATCGTGCAGCAACCCGTGTATGTCCACACACCAAGACACATTCGTTCTTAAGTTCATAAAGAAAGTTTTACTAACCGGGTAATCTTGATGACGCCACTGCGACTTCTGAAAGGACAATGGAAACAGGTGAGTTTGTGTCATGTCCGTTATTGAAGGGACACTAGAGTCTGGCAGCCCCAACAAATTGGATCGAAGCAGATGAAGGCAAATTATCGAAGTTGACGACTCTGATGCTGGCTGATTGTTGATTATATAATTATTGATCAGCTGATAACGATTGCCATGACTGCACTAAAAGAATGTCTCAGTTTCATTCAGGGCAACCACAACGCCATCTGGACCTAAATCGGAAGTTTGCACCTTACGCTAGAGTAATCTCCCTTGCCTTCACATTAGCAATATGTTGCATTTATGTATAACACTGGCTAGGTGCATTACGAAGAATACCACTTTATGTATAACAACCTTTTGTTTAAAGAATGGTGATACTTTTATCACTTGCTGGAAAACGACATTAGAATCTATGTCGCCTTTTACAAAAAAAGAATTTGTATATCGATAAAAAGCACCATCATTCTTCATCACCACAAATTCTAAAATGCCCATCAAAGAAAAAGGTTGTATTTATTGTACAGAACGACTTTCCTTGCACGGCTATCAAGCAAAACGTGACTCCAAGCAGGCGGTGAGAAGCTGATATGCTTCGTATGTAGTAACAAGCAGCAAATTACCATTAACAACAACAGGTAACTGATAACAAGTAGCACGCAGTTGGGTGAGACCAGGCGGAGAGTAAGAAGAAAAATTAGCACAAGTCTTGAAGCTGACAAATAGGAAGCAATAAATTGTAAACAAGCAGAATGGACGCTCATTGAACTGATTGAAACTCTCGCTTGATTCGCTTCGTATGTAATCCCCTTGATATCTGTTGATCACAGTTTTGTGATTATAGGTAAAAACGGTGCCTCCCAAGAGTTTTCTCTCAGTTGTTGTTGGAATTTGGGTTATGACCATCCGATTATTGCTGCCTCCCCATCCATCAGCAACTGCCACAAACCCCATCAAACAGTGGGGTGTAGGTGGATGATTTGGGAATTGTTGGAAGGTGTCATTGCTGTTGATGGAGGGTATCAGGTTGTTCATACAATGATACAACCACCATTTCATATTAACACTTCACGTGGAGAGAAACCCTTGTGCTGCTTTGTCCGGTTTAACGAGGTTCTGGATTACGGGTATACGATCTATATACACTTCAGATTTCCCCGGTACTCTTCCTGACTGTCTGGTTGGGTTTTTGTTGATGTTGTTTTGTTTTTTTTGTTGAACGCTGCACTCAGCAATATTCCAGCAATATGGCGACGGTCTGTAAATAATCGAGTCTGGACCAGGCGATCCAGTGATCAACGGCATGAGTATCGATCGACGCAATTGGGAATAGATGACATGTGTCAACCAAGTCAGCGAGCCCGACTACCCGATCCTGTTAGTCGCTTCTTGCAAGGGTTGCTGAAGATCAATTCTAACCCGGATCTTCACGGGTGTAGACAAGCATGGGTTGCTGAAGATCAATTCTGACACGGATCTGCACGGGCTTATTTTTCCTAAAAGAGTGTTTCTTGATCAACGGGGTTTGCACCGAGGTGGTCGCTAAGAAGGGCTTCTGGATTAACGAGTCTGCAGTGTATGGCAGGTATTTGTCTGAAATGTCCCTAAAGCATTGATGAAATAGGCAAGCAAGGCCTGACAGCTTACCATGTCCAAGTCTGATTCGCGCTGTGAGAAAAACAATAACACGAATCAGTTGAATTTCTTTTTCAGTTAAAGTTTCTACAACAGGAATAATTGTAAAATATGTTTTGAAATAGTTTTTTTTTGTTTTGATTCTTGTTAAACGCCTTGCTCAAGTTTATGACGGCGGACTGTAAATAATCGAGCGTGGACCAATGATCAATGTCATGAGCATCGACCCACACAGTGTAACACGATGACATGAGCATCGATCAACCCAGTGGAACACGATGACAGGCATCATCCATCCAGCGAGATATTGAGTGAGTGAGTGAGTTTAGTTTTACGCCGCACTCAACAATATTCCAGCTATATGGCGGATCTATTGAAGGAAGGTTGGCTGGTTGATGAGTTATTTAACGCCGCACTCGGCAATATTCCAGCTATATGGCGGATCTATTGAAGGAAGGTTGGTTGGTTGATGAGTTATTTAACGCCGCACTCGGCAATATTCCAGCTATATGGCGGATCTATTGAAGGAAGGTTGGTTGGTTGATGAGTTATTTAACGCCGCACTCGGCAATATTCCAGCTATATGGCGGATCTATTGAAGGAAGGTTGGTTGGTTGATGAGTTATTTAACGCCGCACTCGGCAATATTCCAGCTATATGGCGGATCTATTGAAGGAAGGTTGGTTGGTTGATTAGTTATTTAACGCCGCACTCGGCAATATTCCAGCTATATGGCGGATCTATTGAAGGAAGGTTGGTTGGTTGATGAGTTATTTAACGCCGCACTCGGCAATATTCCAGCTATATGGCGGATCTATTGAAGGAAGGTTGGTTGGTTGATTAGTTATTTAACGCCGCACTCGGCAATATTCCAGCTATATGGCGGATCTATTGAAGGAAGGTTGGTTGGTTGATGAGTTATTTAACGCCGCACTCGGCAATATTCCAGCTATATGGCGGATCTATTGAAGGAAGGTTGGTTGGTTGATTAGTTATTTAACGCCGCACTCGGCAATATTCCAGCTATATGGCGGATCTATTGAAGGAAGGTTGGTTGGTTGATGAGTTATTTAACGCCGCACTCGGCAATATTCCAGCTATATGGCGGATCTATTGAAGGAAGGTTGGTTGGTTGATGAGTTATTTAACGCCGCACTCGGCAATATTCCAGCTATATGGCGGATCTATTGAAGGAAGGTTGGTTGGTTGGTTGATGAGTTATTTAACGCCGCACTCGGCAATATTCCAGCTATTCCAGCTATATGGCGGATCTATTGAAGGAAGGTTGGTTGGTTGATGAGTTATTTAACGCCGCACTCGGCAATATTCCAGCTATATGGCGGATCTATTGAAGGAAGGTTGGTTGGTTGATGAGTTATTTAACGCCGCACTCGGCAATATTCCAGCTATATGGCGGATCTATTGAAGGAAGGTTGGTTGGTTGATGAGTTATTTAACGCCGCATTCAGCAATATTCCAGCTACATGGCGGCGGTCTGTAAATAATCTTGTCTGGACCGGACAAGCCAGTTATTATCAACCTGTTGAAGGAATGGAATAGGGTGTTGACAAAGTCGTTAATGCCTTACGTGGACCGTTACAGTTGACTTGACCGAAGCTGGTGTGCCATACAGCCCGACATCCGCATCGCAGGTATAGCAGACTGAAAGTGGAAACACGTGGGTGAGTGAGGGAGTCTGTGAGGCGGTCATAGTCATAGGCTGTGTAATATAAATCACAGCTTGCATGCGTTTGAGTGAGTGAGTGAGTGAGTTTTACGCCTCTTTCAGCAATATTCCAGCAATAACGCGGCCGAAGTCACCAGAAATGGGCTTTATACGTTGTGTCAATGCTGGGAATCGAACCCGGGTCTTTGGCGTGACAGGCAAACGCTTTAGCCACCGTATACACCATCGCCCCATTTTGAGTTTGAACACGCTTTGTGTAGGCATATTTATTTACCTCCAGATGTTCTTGATTCACCCAAAGTATCATGCATAGCTTGTTTATACTATAATCATTGATTCAAGCAAAGCGGACCTACATCTCCTCCCTCACCCGTGAGATAACTGATGTTCAAGAACGGTAACTGATGTTCAAGAACGGTAACTCTACCTGCATCTGGCTTGGGGATACAGCGGACACACAGATGACCTGCACGGGTTGAACCAACAGGTGATGATGTCAACAAACGTGCAGCGGGTTCCTGTAACAAGTGGCAATATCATGACGTGAAGACGTTTTGACGATAGGTAAAGATACCGTAACTAAACGTGAGGACTGACTGACTGAGTTTGGTTTTACGCCGCTTTTAGCAATATTCCAGCAACATCACGGCGGGGTACATCAGAAATGGGCTTCACACGTTGCCCATTCGAGATTCGAACCCTTGTCTTCGGCGTGACGAGCCAACGCTTTACCCATTAGGCTACCCCACCGCCCCAAAGGTGAAGACAGTGATTGTAGGTGAATATATTGTAATTAAAGGTGACTGACTGAGTTTTGGTTTTACGCCGCTTTTAGCAATATTCCAGCAACATCACGGCGGTAATTAAAGATGAAGACATTGTGACAATAGGTAAAGACATCGTGACAATAGTGAAGACATTGGACAATAGGTGAATACAATGTGAATACAATGTGCACACACGCGCACACCGACACACACAGACGCACGCACACACACACACACACAGACCCAAACACACGGATCGTGGGGACGGGGTAGGAGTATCAGGGGTTACACATAGCAGTATATTTGTCTAGAGATATGTAAACATTGCATCCGTGATCGGGAAACGTCACATCAAATTACTTACTTTCTGACAGGAAAGCTGTGGTAGTTTGTGTGATGCCTGCAACATAACAAGAAAAGACTGTATTGATGGGCAACTTGGTACTCTGCGGGACATTTCGCCAGCACGGTCCTGACACTTGCACTATTTTTCCAAAATCGTGTCAATCGCATTGGTGTCAAAAGCTACAGTGAATTCAAAGATATAAATAGTTTCATTTAATGTTTTTTTTAAAAAGGACATGGTCAGGCGTGTTGGTCTGGCTGTATACAAGCCAGTTCCAAAGAATTCCAATCCTTTCCGTTCCCAAGCCACAAACACGGCGAAGACAGTGACAACATCGTCGATACTGTGTTTGTACCAAGTCCGGGCATCCACGGGCAAGAAGTTGGACAGTCTCATTACATTCATTACATAATCTACATTTCACATGTACATTTTGATACTAAATTACATATTGACGGGTGCCTTCTTATTTACTTTTTAGTCCAGCTCACTTCATTCAAGTGAAGGACTCGGCATGGTGGCTTTCCTCCACCCACTGCACATAAATACAATGTGCTGGGTATGCGCCAGTTTCACGTGGATCTCGTTGACACTCAATTCTGTACAGAGCTGTTAGTAGAATCTACATTGACATTAGGATCATATCCTACACCCAGGGTTCATCAGAGTAATAAATATGTACCAAAGTGCACAAAACTATTTTGAGTTATGCCTTTGTGTTCCCCGGTTTCAGATGTACTGTTGACACCACAATTGCTCGTGTTTGTGAGTGACTGTCTGGTTGGGTTTTTGTTGATGTTGTTTTTGTTTTTTTTGTTGAACGCCGCACTCAGCAATATTCCAGCTATATGGCGGCGATCTGTAAATAATCCAGTCTGGACCAGACAATCCAGTGATCAACAGCATGAACATCGATCTGCGCAATTGGGAACCGATGACATGTGTCAACCAAGTCAGCGAGCCTGCAATTGTTCGTGTTTGTGACGGGTATAGTCAGATGTACAGGTAACACCACAACTACACGTGTTTGTGACGGGTATAGTCAGGTGTACAGTTGACACCACAACTACACGTGTTTGTGACGGGTATAGTCAGGTGTACAGTTGACACCACAACTACACGTGTTTGTGACGGGTATAGTCAGGTGTACAGTTGACACCACAACTACACGTGTTTGTGACGGGTATAGTCAGGTGTACAGTTGACACCACAACTACACGTGTTTGTGACGGGTATAGTCAGGTGTACAGTTGACACCACAACTACACGTGTTTGTGACGGGTATAGTCAGGTGTACAGTTGACACCACAACTACACGTGTTTGTGACGGGTATAGTCAGGTGTACAGTTGACACCAGTATTACACGTGTTTGTTACGAGTATAGTCAGGTGTACAGGTAACACCACAACTACACGTGTTTGTGACGGGTATAGTCAGGTGTACAGTTGACACCACAACTACACGTGTTTGTGACGGGTATAGTCAGGTGTACAGTTGACACCAGTATTACACGTGTTTGTGACGGGTATAGTCAGGTGTACAGTTGACACCAGTATTACACGTGTTTGTGACGGGTATAGTCAGATGTACAGGTAACACCACAACTACACGTGTTTGTGACGGGTATAGTCAGGTGTACAGTTGACACCAGTATTACACGTGTTTGTGACGGGTATAATCAGATGTACAGGTAACACCACAACTACACGTGTTTGTGACGGGTATAGTCAGGTGTACAGTTGACACCACAACTACACGTGTTTGTGACGGGTATAGTCAGGTGTACAGTTGACACCAGTATTACACGTGTTTGTGACGAGTATAGTCAGATGTACAGGTAACACCACAACTACACGTGTTTGTGACGGGTATAGTCAGGTGTACAGTTGACACCAGTATTACACGTGTTTGTGACGGGTATAATCAGATGTACAGGTAACACCACAACTACACGTGTTTGTGACGGGTATAGTCAGGTGTACAGTTGACACCACAACTACACGTGTTTGTGACGGGTGTAGTCAGGTGTACAGTTGACACCAGTATTACACGTGTTTGTGACGGGTATAGTCAAATGTACAGTTGACACCAGTATTACACGTGTTTGGTACGAGTATAGTCAGATGTACAGGTAACACCACAACTACACGTGTTTGTGACGAGTATAGTCAGGTGTACAGTTGACACCAGTATTACACGTGTTTGGTACGAGTATAGTCAGATGTACAGGTAACACCACAACTACACGTGTTTGTGACGAGTATAGTCAGGTGTACAGTTGACACCAGTATTACACGTGTTTGTGACGGGTATAACCGTAATTGTAATGGCGACTCTGATTTTGAAGATATTTCTGATGCATATGGGTTTTGTCACTCTTTACTTTATCCATGTTCTGTAAATGGCGCCAGCTAATGGCGGGGTAGGATAGTCTACTCCTCTCTGAAAGCGTGGGACTATTTTAGTTATCCATTGACACAACTGGCTATTCTCGACTTGAGACTGTGTAACTGAACGTTCATTGTGCGTGTTATGTTAGTCATCATAGAGGCAGTATGTTTATTGGAATATGTCCCTCACATGTCGTAACGATGTCCTCTGTCAGTAGTCTGTTTGATGAGGCTGGTGATTGATCGCCTGTCCCCTACTGATCTATTGGTGAACAGGGCGGGGTGTGGATGCTCGTTATAGCATTGCTGAGATGAACAATCAGGTCACGTGACAGCACTTCCAGAATGACATTGCGCTTTTGAAAAGTCACATTAAAACTTTTACAGTGGATGTGAATAGCAGCAAGGTTTCTGGTTCAGTGCTTGTCAAGGCCAACGTAAAATCTTGAATACACAAAACCATTTACAAAGCGTTCATACGTAACACGTGTTATATGTGGGATTACTTTCTCTGTAAAGTTCAGTTGTAAGTCACATCCGGGATTCAGCACACAAAATCAGCCATCTAACCCACTCAGCTATCTAAACCTCTCAGTCATCTAACCCTCTCAGCCATCTGACCCTCTCAGCCATCTAACCCTCTCAACCATCTAACCCTCTCAGCCATCTGACCCTCCCAGCCATCTAACCCCTCTCAGCAATCTAACTCACTCAGCCATCTGCCCTCTCAGCCATCTAACCCTCTCAACCATCTAACCCTCTCAGCCATCTGACCCTCTCAGCTATCTAACCCTCTCAGCCATCTAACCTCTCAGCCATCTAAACCTCTGAGCCATCTAACCCACTCAGCCATCTGCCCTCTCAGCCATCTAACCTCTCAGCCATCTAAACCTCTGAGCCCTCTAACCCACTCAGCCATCTGACCCTCACAGCCAAAGTAGGCTTCCACTGAGTGGGTTAGATGTGTGTGCTGGCGATTAGGTTCAAGAGAGTGTGGCCTCGAATCCTGGATGGGACTTAACCAAACAAAAGTAGTAGAATCTGTACTTTACTGAGAAAGCGTCATCCAGAATATAACACCTGTGTAAAATCAGATTGAGCTTTTGGTAAAAGCCGTGAACCTAAGCTTGATAAATGGATCGAAGAAGCTATATATCGGTAAAAACCTAAACACATGACAGACGGACGCACAGACAGACAGACCGTCCGATCCCTATTTCGGTGGTCTTACGGCTAGTATGAGGACTTCTTCATGCCTGGTTTCATGGTGTTTTTATGTGCATATGGTCACGGGTCATACATGTACAAAGGAGTAACTATACAATAGGTTCATCGTTCTTCACAATGACTTGACTCAAGACGCCACCTGGCGGCCCTGTGTTGTTGACTTCTTGCTAATTAATCACGGTCTGTGAGACACTGTATCCGTTACCGCAGCCCGAGGCAAGGAGAGTAGGTAACAGGCCAACAAAGCATGGCGTGATACTCATCCTTACGTCCTACCTGGAAGTCGGTCATGCGCGGAACATACTTCCGGTTATCTGGCTCGGAAGATAAATGGCATGTTTTCTTCAAGCGGAAACGTCACTGCTGAGATATGGGAGGTCGTAAAAGTCATATTTCTACATCGTAATACTTTTCACCCGGTCAGTGTGTGAGAATAGGCTTCAAAAAGTGATACGAGCGGCTTTGTGGTTATCTGTCTTTCATGTTTTATTCTGAATCTAAATATTGTTCACAGTTGAAGGCTAGCTTCGCAGACAATCGTTAAGCTGCCGTACAATCTGTCGGACGTTGTCGCAGACTGTGGTTCCGGAGCTGGGGATGATGACGTGGAGGAGGACGAGGGAGCAGGATCCACGAAGATTTTCAACCAGCACCATCTGTCGGCGACTATCCGCGACGGCCAAGTATACGTATTTTGTCAGCGTCGGAATGACACCAGTAACTTCATCTCCTTCTTGGATATAGCGCACGAGTTTCCACGAGAGAGTCGTTTTTCACATGATTCAAGTTGGGGTCAGAGTGAGTGAGCTTGGATTTACGCCGCTTTTAGCAATATTCCAACAATATCTCGGCGAGGAACTCTAGAAGTGGGCTTCACACAACGTACCCATGTGGGGAATCGAACCCGGATTTCAGCGAGACGCTTTAACCACTAATCTACCCCACCGCCCCAGTTGGGATCAGAACAACGATCAAGGCCTGTGTAAACACCATCATTTAATACAGACATGACACACATCATTTGAGGATAAGGAGTTAATATGCAAACATGGCAATTATGCTCGTTTAAACGCACGTTTTGTGTTATGACAAGAGGAGAACACTTAGGTTAGTCAAGCCATGTTTAGGGTACATACGGTACAACCTGGCGCGACCTTGTGCGGCTTGGGCGCCCGTCTATGACAGTTATTAATGACTGGATGAAGAAGGCTTCGGAACATCCAAGCACTGACAAGGAGACAAGAGGCCTCTGTCACGTGAATGAGAAGGGTTACCGCACAATGGGTGTTTGTGACAATCTGTTCTTGTCATGGGTTTGATGACAAACGCCTTTAGTCTATGTATAATATTGTTTATCGCTTTGATTGATTAAGTAGACAGAAAATACTGAATGTTACATAATGATCCCTACATGTGGGACACACGCTATGCAATGTATAGTCAAAACAATTCGAATATAGCAACTTGTGATGACCACAAATGTAATCATGGTCGATGAATACAAATACCAGCATACATCCAAAACAAATCTCTGATAGAACGATTATGATGAGCAAGTGTTTATGAATCACTATCAAACGGTGATTATCCCAGATGTTCGGTGGGAGAAACACACGCAAAGGCTCGTCAATTGTACACCTGAAAACAACTCAAAAATGAAAACTGCATCGGACATCATTTGTGTCAATGACATCTCAAACTTGAAACTGTCCTCAACATGCCCAGAACTTTGAGAAACTCTACTGAGACATTGGATGTTGTACATTGATCGAACACCTTCTCAGCGAGTGTCGTATGGAGCTAATTGAAATCTCGATGAAAAGCCTTCTGGATTATATAACAAAAGCTGTGAACTGTAAACACCACAGGCCGGCGTCCCACCCCTTGTTGTATAGTCTTGGGTAGACGGGTGTCACTCTATGTATAGTGAGTGAGTGAGTTAGTTTTATACCGCACTCAGCAATATTCCAGCCATATGGCGGCGGTCTGTAAATTATCAAGTCTGGACCAGACAATTTACTGATAAACAGTATGATCATCGATCTACACAATTGGGATACGATGACCTGTGTTAACCATGCCAATGAGCCTGACCACCCGATCCCGTTAGTGGCCTCTTACAACAAGCATGGGTTTCCGAAGACGAATTCTAACCCGGATCTTCACGGGTCCTCTATGCATAGATCTAAGTAGGAAACACATGAAGCGGCTTCACAAGTCTCTTCTAATTTAAGTCAGTCAGGGAACTGCCATTACATCTTGGAATATATCTGTGAGTAAAATGAGGTCACACCAGACATTTTTGTTCCAATACACATTACATTGAGGTTTAGGCAACTATGATGGTCTCCGCATTAGAATATGTTCACATAAATCTATGCAGGGGTACTTCTTAGAAAAGGTCCCCATCAATCTATGCAGGAGTCCTTCTTAGAAGAGGTCCTTAGCAATCTATGCAAGTGTCCTTCTTAGAAGAGGTTCTCAGCAATCTATGAAGGTGTCCTTCTTGGAAGAGGTCCTGAGCAATCTATGAAGGTGTCCTTCGTAGAAGAGGTCCTTAGCAATCTATGCAGGTGTCCTTCTCAGGAGAGGTCCCCATCAATATATGAAGGTGTCCTTCTTGGAAGAGGTCCTGAGCAATCTATGAAGGTGTCCTTCGTAGAAGAGGTCCTCAGCAATCTATGCAGGTGTCCTTCGTAGAAGAGGTCCTGAGCAATCTATTCTGTTCTCCAAGGGAAAAATGTCCCAAGAGTGGTCAACTTGACGGGTCAAGTGGTCATTTTTGCTGCCTTGATTGACGATGTGTCGTGTCGACCGCGAGGAGCGTTGTTTATCATGAGTTTGTTTGGTCGATATTTGATTACAGCTTCCATCACATACCTGGAAATGTGGTGAGTGTGTTGCCAAACAACAAACAAACAACATCCCAGGTGTGTTAGTAAAACATTCACATTCACCAAAGAATCACCAGTGACAAAATGCTGATAGGAACAGGGTCATTGCAGCTGTGTTGCCCAGCATACAGCAGGAGGTTCTATCTGGCTATCTGGGCTTGGTATTCGTGGAATATTGTTGTGTGTGCACTGATTGGGGCCGTGGTTCACGACTCGTCAAGTGACATTGATGAACATACTGATGAACGATCGCTTGTATTTTTGTATTTTATTTTCGTATTTTATTTTTCTTTACTTCTTTTCGTTGCACTGACACACACGCTATCAATGTACTTTGAAAAATAGTCGAATATTCAACATTATATTTTCAGTAACATTTGACATTATTTAAAAAAATAGAATATATTCTTAAAACACGTGTATGTTGTATGTGAATCGTTTTAATGTTAAACATAATATGTTAGCTTTCGAAACACGTCATAACATTCTTGCCTTGTGTGCTTTTATTCCAGTGTTATTCAAATGGATTCAACACTACATATTATCAGTGATAATGCAAAGCAACTACGTTCTTACACCCGGCTTTCTCACACCCGGATTTCTCAGACACAGGGATATTATTAATTCTATAGTAGTGAAGTAATAAAGTTGACCGAAAGTTGTTAAAAACCCTGTAAATTTCGTCAACAAATTACACCATGTCACGATAGGACTCAACCGACATATGACACGGCCTTGACAGCACACAAGTCATCATCTCGACGACAACAACAATCTCTCAGACAAGTATGAACGCAGCCTTTACACCACACACGACACAACAACAATATAAATCCCGTCTACTCACATAGTAAAGCGAAAATCCTAATGGCGAGTGTCCACTTCATGATTATCCTGTAAATATAAGTCCTGGCTTCAGGAGAGTGTTCTGGGATAGTGTTGTCGGTTCAAGCAGCTGCCTTGTGAGCTTGTATTGAGCTTATGCTCTGGTGTTCCGTGGGAGATGTTCACAATACCTGCTTGCCGTGACGTATATAGGCCTTTGATAGATTGTAGGTGTCTAGCTCGCAGTCGATCACGATTGTGACGTATCGGTACGTCATGGACGAGGGGAGTGTTTCTGAAACAGTTTCCCAAATAGTCTGACATATATGTGACGGAAATTTTGTATTTGTGTATCTGAATAATACCCTTTTTCTTAATTTGACCTTGATTGTCAAACGACTGTCAGCGAAACCACTCGTGTGGTTGTGTAGTCTGCGTGATGGAGCATAATGGCAATATTAATGTCATGGTTCCACACTTCATCATATTTTATCATACTTTGTGGGTGTCGAAATTTTATAAAAAAAGATTAGTGATGTTAATTCAGTTTATGGGTGTTACGCTGGTTAGCTTCCACGCCGCCTTGACGATAGAGACCGAGTTATACCGCAGTATAAGAGGAAGGCAGTCACCTAGGACGCAGGTTGATCAGTATAACAGCACGGGCTTTTTTATTGCTAGAGGCTGTGGGGAAGACCAAGTAATCATCATTGTATTTTTATCACACGGACAACTTGATGAATATATGAGTTTAGTTTTACGTCGCATTTGTTTAACGTTTCTGTCGCAATAGCTCTTCATCAGGTTGTTCACCGGTGAAGATCCGGGTTAGAATTGATCTTCAGCAACCTATGCTTGTCGTAAGAGGCGACTAACGGGATTAGGTGGTCAGGCTCGCTGACTTGGTTGACACATGTCATCGTATCCCAGTTGCGCAGGTCGATGCTCATGCTGCTGATCACTTGATTGTCGGTCCAGACTCGATTATTTACATATAACTGGAATATTGCTGAGCACGGTGTTAAATAACAAACCACACCAACAACCCTTCGAGACCCTCTGGTTTCCTCAACGATAATATACTGAACAAAAATAGTTAGGGAAAAATGTAAATTTTGAAATTATGAATAATGATGTATAAAATATCAATCACAAAAATACCAATATCCCTAACTTATTTTGTCCAGTATATGTTTATCCACCTCCAATTACCGTCCAGTTGAACGAGGAGTTTTCTTGTGCTATATCCATCAATAACACCCACTGATCCCTTCTAAAGCACACACATTTTACAGTTCTAATAAGGGCTGTGCAATATTACCGGTAAACCGGTATATACAGTATCTCGCGATACGATTATTGCGATATGGTTGAGATTCTGCAATATAATGGGTCATCCAGAGTTAGCCCCCCTTTGAATTATATGCCCTTGACTTCCATGGCAACAATATGTGCTCTAAAAGTTGAAGTATCTTTGTAAGTGGCTCCAAAGGAGCCAAATATTCTACCAAGTTTTGTGGGTTTGAATGGTTTCATATGTGACAGTTTGGAGGAATTAAGTGGCCTCAAATGGGTCAATGTTTTATTTATTCTTGTTAGTAGAGCTTCTGGCTCTGAGGGACCATTTTCACAATTCAAAATATTTTATTATTTTTGTTTGTTTCATAATGGGACATATGTTATCAATTTATCATAAAGGCTTAAGTCTTATAAATTTTGTAGGACTGTATAATGAAATTTTAGTCAGGATCTTAGCATTGGAGGTTACATGAGTTTTTAAGCTCAGGTAGTTAACCTAAATCATGTTTTTGTTTCATTTTGTTGATGTTAATACATGTTTATATTGGAGTTGAATCTGAATGAATCACTGACATACGAGGGGCGATAAAATAGGATGTAGAATCACCAAGAAAACGATACGAATGCAGTTATTTTTATGTTTTATGTTTCTACATATTGTTTGTCAAGCTCATGCAATTTGGTTTTGCTATGTTCCAGTCTCACGATGCCCATTTTGTTTGACCTTTTATCTTGGTACCCTCAAAAAACGGAAAATCTATAATAAATGCATCAAAAACTTCAGAAAACAAAATATGCAAGAAATATTTTGTGTGTTTGAGATTGATAGAAGTCCCCTAGAATCACACTTAGATATTAAAGTTCATGAAAAAGCAATTTGAAATTACAACCGCTTGTTAAAGTGACTCCCCCCTTCATGTTGACTGAAAGAGCTTGTTTTGGAGACACTACCCATCCCCCTATGGGGAATCGTAATCATAAGGGCATAGCTTATTCAATACATGCATACATGATACCAAGGGTTCAACCTAAATACTGAATGGTCACACAAGTGTCAGCTCACAATATATTGTAAACTGTGCGAGCTTGAATATCTGGACACAATGTTTTGAAAGATTAAAATGGGGGTGTCCTTACAAAATAGCCCCCGACTAAATATAAATCAGGCAATCCAAATCTTTGACTGTTGATCATGACGGGAAGTTATCCAATACTATACTGAACATATTTTATATGACATTATCTGAGGACTTACCATTATCCCAGAGGTACCAAAAGACAGATCGTTTTTCATTTTCTGCAATTTTGTTAGAAATATTATACTCCAATGTGTTGTGATGACAAATATCTGGTTAACCACATTACCCACACATGTGAAGTTTTGGATATGGCTTTGCTAACGATTCCTTCAAAATAAAATGGAAGCTTTTCAAACATTGGACATCGAGAATATAGTTAGGCTACGTACTTTTTGATCGACCCTCGTACCGTAACAATAAGTACATCCTGCATTGATGTGTACTCTGTTGAAGCAAACAACACTGACCTTGAAAATCATGTTATACTATTACCTTTATCATTATGTTCGCAAAACTTTGTTGCAATACTTCAATTAAATATTCCACATAAAAGCTTTATATCAGTTTATTTATCTGTACACCACTGGCATACAGCCATACACAATGGGGACGGGGAGCCTGAAAGTATGGTGTAACAGCAACTAAGAAGATTATGTCGCACACAGAGAGCTATTATGAATTTATGATGTACGCACTTTTAATATTTAATAAAATATATACACGTGTATTTCGAAATGTTTGTTTTTTCCATTTACGTTGATTTGATGCCAAACAGGTGCGCGTATTGTTTATATTAAGACACACAGTCAAACCACCAATTATTTATCTATTCGAGCAGGGGAGACAACTCAAAACCGTAACTACGGACATGCTTGAGTCTTCTGCACTGAAGATTTCATCCTTAGTTAGGGTTGTCGCTAAGTATTGTTCCAGAGTTAAGGTTGTCGCTAAGTATTGTTCCAGAGTTAAGGTTGTCAGTAAGTATTGCTCCAGAGTTAAGGTTGTCAGTAAGTATTGTTCCAGAGTTAAGATTGTCGCTAAGTATTATTCCAGAGTAAAGGTTGTCGCTAAGTAGTGTTCCAGAGTTGTCACTAAGTATTGTTCCAGAGTTAAGGTTGTCATTAAGTATTGTTCCAGAGTTAAGGTTGTCCCTAAGTATTATTCCAGAGTAAAGGTTGTCGCTAAGTATTGTTCCAGAGTTGTCACTAGGTTGTCAGTAAGTATTGTTCCAGAGTTAAGGTTGTCAGTAAGTATTGTTCCAGAGTTAAGATTGTCACTAAGCTAAAGTATTATTCCAGAGTAAAGGTTGTCGCTAAGTATTGTTCCAGAGTTGTCACTAAGTATTGTTCAGAGTTAAGGTGTGTCAAGGTTGTCAAGTATTATTCCAGGTTGTTCCCTTCCAGAGTTAAGGTTGTCGCTAAGTATTATTCCAGAGTAAGTTAAGGTTGTCGCTAAGTATTGTTCCAGAGTTAGGTTGTCACTAAGTATTGTTCCAGAGTTAAGGTTGTCGCTAAAGTAAGTATTGTTCCAGAGTTAAGGTTGTCGCTAAGTATTATTCCAGAGTAAAGGTTGTCGCTAAGTATTGTTCCAGAGTTGTCACTAAGTATTGTTCCAGAGTTAAGGTTGTCGCTAAGTATTGTTCCAGAGTTAAGGTTGTCATTAAGTATTGTTCCAGAGTTAAGCTTGGCGCTAAGTATTGTTCCAGAGTTAAGGTTGTCGTTAAGTATTGCTCCAGAGTTAAGGCTGTCGCTAAGTATCCTTCCAGAGTTAAGGTTGTCGCTAAGTATTATTCCAGAGTAAAGGTTGTCGCTAAGTATCCTTCCAGAGTTAAGGTTGTCGCTAAGTATTGTTCCAGAGTTAAGGTTGTCGCTAAGTATTGTTCCAGAGTTAAGGTTGTCGCTAAGTATTGCTACAGAGTTAAGGTTGTCACTAAGTATTGTTCCAGAGTTAAGTTTGTCGCTAAGTATTGTTCCAGAGTTAAGGTTGTTACTAAGTATTGTTCCAGAGTTAAGGTTGTCGCTAAGTATTGTTCCAGAGTTAAGGTTGTTACTAAGTATTGTTCCAGAGTTAAGGTTGTCGCTAAGTATTGTTCCAGAGTCAAGGTTGTCACTAAGTATCCTTCCAGAGTTAAAGGTTGTCGCTAAGTATTGTTCCAGAGTTAAGGTTGTCGCTAAGTAGTGTTCCAGAGTTGTCACTAAGTATTGTTCCAGAGATAAGGTTGTCATTAAGTATTGTTCCAGAGTTAAGGTTGTCGCTAAGTATTATTCCAGAGTAAAGGTTGTCGCTAAGTATTGTTCCAGAGTTGTCACTAAGTATTGTTCCAGAGTTAAGGTTGTCGCTAAGTATTGTTCCAGAGTTAAGGTTGTCGCTAAGTATTATTCCAGAGTAAAGGTTGTCGCTAAGTATTGTTCCAGAGTTGTCACTAAGTATTGTTCCAGAGTTAAGGTTGTCGCTAAGTATTGTTCCAGAGTTAAGGTTGTCATTAAGTATTGTTCCAGAGTTAAGGTTGTCGCTAAGTATTGTTCCAGAGTTAAGGTTGTCATTAAGTATTGCTCCAGAGTTAAGGCTGTCGCTAAGTATCCTTCCAGAGTTAAGGTTGTCGCTAAGTATTATTCCAGAGTAAAGGTTGTCGCTAAGTATCCTTCCAGAGTTAAGGTTGTCCCTAAGTATTGTTCCAGAGCTAAGGTTGTCGCTAAGTATTGTTCCAGAGTTAAGGTTGTTGTCGCTAAGTATTGTTACAGAGTTAAGGTTGTCACTAAGTATTGTTCCAGAGTTAAGTTTGTCGCTAAGTATTGTTCCAGAGTTAAGTTTTTCGCTAAGTATTAGAGTTCCAGAGTTAAGGTTGTTACTAAGTATTGTTCCAGAGTTAAGGTTGTCGCTAAGTATTATTCCAGAGTTAAGGTTGTTACTAAGTATTGTTCCAGAGTTAAGGTTGTCGCTAAGTATTGTTCCAGAGTTAAGGT